AGGAAGGGGGGGGGGGGGGGGGGGGGGGGGGGGGGGGGGGGGGGGGGGGCGGTCCGCGGATGCGAAGCTGCCTCCCCCCTCCCCGGTTGGCATGTTAGGGGACCGCTTTAGGACCCGAACATATTTGGTTTTTTTGAGAGCAAACGGTGCCATTTGGTATGGTTTAGTACTATAAATCTGCTAGTCAAAATTCTAATTCAAAGACGGGGATATTAGTATGATTTTTTTCAGAAACTAAAGGGGGGAATGCCCTGACCCCCCCCCCCCCCCAAATGTGTTTTATGCAATTGCGTCAAATGGGGTTATTTTATACACCGATATTTTTTGCGCTGCGCCTGTGAGATTAAAGTTATTATTAAGTTTGTATAAAGTTAAAAAGCTTTGATAATTGTTTTATTGATACCAGTCTTGCATTTGTCGGCCATATTGGATTTTTCATGAATGTCCAAAAATTTGCCAATTGTGACTTTTTTTCTTTTTTACGTAAAATACTCGATTGTTTTACCATATTGCTTGAATTAAATCCATAAAACGCAGACAATCTTATCAAAAAGAAGTTGGAAATTTAACCAATTTTATGAAATATACACCCCTGTAACTTCAACCAATGCGTTTCAATTTTATTATTAAACTATCAATTTCTTTGTGAGATGGACCCTGTACTTTCTTTCTTCTCAAGTCGAGTTTATATATAAGGACGGCAAAATGCACCGAAGACAATTACTAGTTTCGCAATTATAATTTATTAAAACAGAAACGCATTAAGATATATCTATACACGGTAGGTTCCTCGTGGATAAATGCCCTTATGATTTTAAGTGCCTGGTGGGTGTTCAGTGACAAATTACAGACGTATACTCTGAGGGCAGGTAAGTCATCAATTGGGGGGGGGGGGGTCTTATATATATGAAACGGCCTGTACCTCTGAGTGATTGAAACAATTCTCTATATTTAATTTTTTATAGTTTCATATAATTAAGTATTTTGAGAGAAAATATAAAAACTAGCAATGAATTGGCAGAGATTTATTCATGGCTTATGTAAGGATATAATCTTCATCTCAACTTTTTAGAATTCATCATTTTTTAGAATTCATCAGCTAGATACTACAGTGTGTCAGTGGTTTGGTCTTTACGATAAACTTGATATAATCTGGAATACAAATGAAGTCTCTGGCAATTCAGTTATTCTCGAGCAGGTCATGCCTACAGTTCAATTTCTTGGTTGCGCTCAACGACCGTGAAATCTCTAACAAGTGATAGAGACCATAAAGGTCCCTTCACTGGTGTCGTACCCGTATACACCTACTGCATACGTTCCACTGGCTAGCTCTCCTCCGGAAAACTGGAGCAAAGAGGTAAAACCAGAACATCCGTAATCGTCGTCATTGTAGTAGAGGCTGTATTCTTGGTAGATGTTGCATGTCTGACTCCCACCGGATTCAGTATTAGACAGCGCATCACAGGCAAAAAGAGCCAGCTTTGTGTCGTAGTCGGCGGTGTTACATGTGGATATAATGACATCGTTAAACCCGGAGTAGCTGATGTAGTATCGCAAAGGTGCCAGATTGTATTCTACATACTCATGGCTGCCGGAAAAGGTGTAAGCTGTACCATCACACGTGACCTGTTGAACGTCCGCTGAAAGTGACAAATATACAAAAAACTAGCATATTTTAACTTTCACAATGGTCACCAAAACGAATTATTAAGCAGTAATATTAATTTATTCAGACATTATATAAAATATATAAGAAAGTGGATTCTGTAAGAGCTATAATAATATTAATAATAATAAAGTTCAAAACGTGGACGTAAAACGATTATTTTAATAATTTTAATTTCTATTATTCTAAAATATAATAAACTAAAAAGACAGTGAGTAAACATTTGGAAAAGGACAACAGTAATCTACGTAGCTATGAGACCACAAACAACTTGACATAGTATCGTTTCTTCCTTTTTGTTTTCTTTTTCTACACACTGATAAGTGCTTAAAAATATATCATACTTACGACACTGTGTTGTAAGTTCAGCTGAAAATTGATAACAAGAGATATATAAGAAAAGGTTCATTAATGTTATACGTACAAATAATCTATATATTGTACAACTTATGCCAGCACATTTGAGTAAAGAACTTACCTCCCTCAACATCAAAACACGCGCACAAGTCCCCATCAAATCAACTTTTTATCTATTTGATTAACTTTTGAACGAACCTACATGTATAACGTGGACCGTCAGCTAATATCCACTACCGCAATAAATTATCATAAAAATCAGAATTTAATTAGCTTGCAGGTATTAACTAGTTATACAGATAGGGAGCAAACTACATATCACATTATTCTAAGTTTTACGTTATACGTTATACTTACGACATGCCGGTGGCTCTAGGAGAAAAAAAAAGAAAGCAATATTATACATAACGGAATGTCAGCCGAATAATGAAAGAAGGGGGGGGGGGTATCATCATTAAAGCTGCAGTGAAAATATGTAGGACTCCATGATAACTATTGTTTGATGATTAAATAAGTGCAATTATGGGTAAAAAAAACAGACCAGAAGAAATATTTTATGTTGAATAATACCAAAAGAAAAAAGGGGGCATTCATTACAAAAATAAAAGAAACTGAATAGCAAGCTTCTTTGTCACAATATTCAATTTTAATTTAAGTTACAATACGCGTTGTCTTCACACACACACACACACACACACACACACACAAGAAAAAAATATTGCAATTCATCTATAAATGCATATCGTATTATTATTATTTGCAATTGCGCTTAATGCAATAGACTTTGTTATGAAAGTCCTCACATCCTCCACCTACCTGGAATACAAATATCTTCTTCGGAAGAAGGGTCCAATGCGTATCCTTCAGCACAAATACAGGACCAGGGCTTGGGGCAAGGTGCAATACCTTGGCTATTTGGACTAGGGGTATTCTTGCAGATCGTCACGTTGTTTTTGTCAGTCCTGCAGCACCTTGTATTGTTCCCGCATAAAGGTGGCATATCGGCCGTTGCTATAAAATAAAAATGCAGAATTAATAGACAGATTAAATTTTCGGCAATTCATGGATGGCTAAAGCATGAGCAGTTGATGGTTTCCCTTACCTTCCAAAAAATGACAGGATATTTTGTCTTTCAACCCCTCCTCTTTTCCTAATGGTGCTTAATATCGAATCGAAAATGGAAATTCAAATGTTTGTTTTAACAGTACAATATGAAGTAAGCCAACGCCAGGCATGTCTACCGTGTCAAGCATAAACTAGATCTCCCCTCTCTAAGAAGCATTTATATAGAAAGTGTGGCTTCCAAAACAGCGAAGATTATGAACGATACTGCTTACCCTGCGCATGAACTTTTTAAATTTCTCCTAAGCAAATGGAGACTTTTATATTTTAGACGAGGCAAACTGCTTTAAAAAATTTTTATCCAATCGCTACATCTATTTTTGATAGTTTAACATAATTTTTACCGATTACTCTAAATTTTTTTTTTTTCATTTATTTGATCCTGCATAAATCCAAGATGGTGAAAAAGTTTCCGTTTTTATGTGTATTTTTTTTTTACAATATATTTAGGCTAACAATGGTTGAATAACTTGATCATTATTATTATTATTATAATTGTAAACTAGAAGACCGTGAATCAAGTTCATGTCGGAATATATGGAAAGACTTTTAAAGTCCAAACTGTAAAATGTTTAAAACCATAATGCTGTCGAAATAGGGACTGATAAAATGACGTTTGCTTTTCTAAATAACAGACTAAACCAAGTGACTAAATATAATTTGCTTTGCATTGTGTAAACTCCGCTAATCTTCCAATATTTTAATAGGTATGACTTCTCCTTTGCCAGTCATGACAAGACAACTTTAAACCATATCATCAATCTTTGAAGTAATAAAACAAAGATTAGTACTTACGGGCACCGTCGACTGCACATAGTGACACCGCCATCAAAACCAAACAAAGGGCCTTTGAACTGGTCATCTTCACCTTCAAACGATAGTTCTGAAGCTGCTGAATTGATTTCTGGCAAATTGTTGATCTACTGGTTGTCAGAGACGACTGTGGATCTGATAAAATGTTCAATATACTTATCATTTTATAGAAAATTCTCAATGTTGGCTGTCATTTACTGTTTGAGAAGAAATAACCAATCACTTGCTTGCGAAATAGAATTCGCTCACTGCGCATTCCCTCACTGTCCAATAAAATTATCTGCATCTTAATTTTTGGTGTTTTTGATTATCATATTATAATGATTTTAAATTCGTTCTTTTTCTTTTTGCACCCTCATTTTTGCAACCCCCGCACATTTTGTACCTCAATGGTCGTCTTGTAAGATATTTCATAGACCTGCATTTCTACCTTCTGTTACACCCAGAATATGTAAAACACGCCAAGTAGGGGAGACCGGGGCTAGTTGGACTCCAGGGTGAGTTGGCCCCCCATCAAGTCTCTTTAATAAAGTTACTTTAAGATGCTAAATTATTTCATTTGGACTCACTGTCGACGCTTTCTTAGCACTGTTGGATACGGTCACTTTACAAAATGATGTGATCAATTCTTTTACCCCATAGTTACTTTGTCATATGGGGGTGGGGGGGGGGGGGTCCAACTAGCTCCGGTCTCCCCTAACATCTCACGGAAAGGCGTTGCTTTAACGAATTTAAATTGTGATTAAAATTGACTGTCTTGAATATCTTATACCAAGCATAGTTGATGCCGTAACAAATCTAAATGATATTAACAAGTTAATATTCTTGTTTAAATGATATCAACAGGTTAATATTCTTGGTAAACATGTTAACAATGCATCTCTTCTTAATATTTTATATCTTAACTCTGACACCATATTTCTCTTTTTGCAATCAAAATATACACACACGGGACAATAAAAGTGTCACCCCCTGAATCAGAGTAATCAAATTTATAATGCCTGGTCTACGTATAATGTGACTAATGAGTATAAAACCGCTGTACCATGGAATTGTATTGTTGGTCTTTTTGTGAAATTTGATGTTAATAAAATGATACCAGGAGCATATCATTCCACAGTCATTTTTCTCCCCCAAAGTATTGGTTCAGTAGGGGTGACACTTCTATTGTCTAGTGTGTGTAGTTCAAGCTGATCAATTGGAAAATTAAATCATTTTTACAACTTGTGGTATTGTTATATGTCTCTCCACCATAGGTTCTGTGACTACAGTGCACAATGCTAAGCAGTAAGCTCGTTAACTGTGCTGGGAGAACCTGTATGTTTGACAAACACTCATACACATATTCAAACAGATTTGATCTGAGCAACAGATATCAATATACACTGCATAGGCAAAATGAAGCTAAAAGTAACAATTTTGTATTCCGCCAAATGCACTTAAGACTTAAATGTAAGAAAAGAAGTAAATTAACAACATGAATATTTTTATCACGTTATGCATACTAAAAGTTGTCTGCAGGTTCATTTCTCTTGATTTATTATAATTCCCATGTAGCTGGTACTGGTCTTCATCGGACTCGAAAAAAAAAATGAATTCACAAGGAAGGACAGGAATGGACACTTGCGTTTACTGTAGCTGTAACTTATCATATTAGCTCAAATTAGAATAGTTGCTTATCAGATAAATACTTATCTTTTTCATGTTCCGTCTTTGATTTGACTAGATAAATTAATGTACATATAGTGCAACGTGAAAGCGTTTCTGTAATACCTATACGCAAGAATAGTGCCGGCAAAGTTCCCAATATTTTTAGCTGTGACTTGGAGCCTTCACTAATAGTTGCTACTTGGAAAGACTCCCACCTATCCCCCCCCCAACCACACCCAACA